TGAAGTTTCCCTTACCAAGCTCCAAAAGTTGACTTTCGGATGGGATTCCGTTTGCTTGCGATTGAAAACATAATGTTTGGTGATCTCCAAAAGGTTAACTATCACCATCGGATGCTTTCCTTTTCTGTCCACACATATGAGACACTGATGGACGTGCAACAAAATTTCAAGCTCTTTTTCACACTGTCGATCAATTTTCTTGAGAGCATTTGAAATTCAAAAAAGGGGTTAGAAGTCGGCAAAGGAAAGGAGACCAACTGCCAGTGATGGGCGTAGCATGCACCAAAGTGGGCAAAGTTTGTTCTCAAACTTATAACTAGATTCTTGTTCTCAAACTTATAACTAGATTCCAAGAAGTGTCGGAGATCGGGAAAACGTGGATAGAGTCTGACAACGGAAAAAAGTCCAACTGCTATCGGTGGGTGAGGCTTGCACCAAAATGGGCGGAGATCCACGAAACATTGTAACTCGGTTCCAAGAAGTCCTGGAGACGGGAAAAAGTGGATAGTTTACAACGAAAGGGAGGTCATATGCTATTGGTGGGTGGAGCGCGTGGCAATTGGCTGAAGTTTGCCAGAAAGCGTAAAAAAATATCGATGGCCTTGTTATACCACTGCAGCCCCGTGTGAAGCACGCGAATGCGTGCGCGGTTGAACTAGTACTTATATAAAAGCTAGATAAACCTTTTCATTTTCATTTTCCAAACTCTTCATGGTAATTGAACCCAAATAAAATATACACTTGATTCAGCCTGACGTGCACAGGGAGAGGATAGCTCTTCTCGTTTAGTCTCCGTCTAAGGGCACGTGCGAAACGGAGACTAAACTACTCTTTGAATCCTCATTTGAATAAACATTTGAAAAAAATACAAAAATTAATGTTGAGAGTTTGAAAACAACTTTCTACTCAGAGGAGTAATGGTGAATTTGAATACAATTAAGTAGTTTAATGATATGTTAAACAATCAATTTCATTCTATTGGTAACAGCATAGTGAAAAAAGAGTGACTTGTTTCGTGTCCAATGATCAATGCGATTTTCAGGCTTCTCAAAGCTTGCTGAGCCTTGCTGATCGTGAAAATTCCGATGTGAAGCGACAAAGAGTACGTTTTGTCAGCAGATTTTTTTTACTGTATTCTGCTGGACCGGACCCGCCCGAACATCTTGTGCAAGGGCTCCATGGCATATTACTTCTGACAAGGAAGGTCGTTCAGGATGTGCGAACTTTTTCAAAACGGTTTTTTGCATGATATAGGGGCACATGCAGGAACCACAAAACTGTGGTTCATTTTTCCTGAATGGCTCTCTGAATACCAAAAAGGGCTGAAGAAAATTTACCTTAAGAACTGTTGTTTTTACTGCTTCATTGTGGCGCATATCGGTTGACAGTGTCATATTAAAGGGTCCCCGCTGTCTGTTCATCGAGAACAAAGCCAACTTCGGGCAGAATGGTGCGTTTGTCCAAGCTATGTGCTTGAGAAAGTGTCATGGTTTCATAAGGAATTTCGCTATCAGAGGGTCGAAGACCCAGTGGCAGAACGCGATGGACTCTAGTTGGCTCGGTGCGAGGGGAGGGTTGTTGGATCGGCTCCTTATGAGCTGCGGTTTTTGTATTTTCGGCTCACACTTTAGCGTGAGTGGCAAATGGTACTATCTCTACGTTGAACTCCATATTCATCAGGGTCATAAATAAGCACCATTAAAGTTCTCATCGACAACAGGGGAAACATGTCGCTGACCCAAAATGGCGCCAGAAAAAGAATGCCATCTTCGTGATCAGGGCGCTGATCTAACCCAACACCAAAGTTTTGGGGAAAATCGAGATTTTGACTCGACTTCGAAAAATTGGACCGGCCGTAGGGACAACCCGACGTGTGTCCCGGACGGCTTGGAGGCGAGCTCGGAGCGGAAAATTAGGGGTACCCTCCAGTGATAAACACGAAATCGAGGGTTTGTCTCTATAGGACACGTCCCACACTTCGTTGCGTTCTTTGAGGACGATCTAGCTACGGCAAGAGGCCTAGTAGTCAGTAATAGGGCCGAAAATTCGATCACCAGTTTTTTTGGTCAAAAGCTATTTGTAAGGGTTGCTGATAGTTCCAATTATGAACATAACGTCCAGTCTTGGCGCTGACGCCATTTGCGCAAATTGTGAAACGCCAACTCAAAACGCAAAAGTTTGTAACCCGCAAGGAATCGAACACGGACCACCTTCTTCGCCCTTTTTTGGTATTCAGAGGGCCGTTAAGGAAAACGAACCGAATAGTTGTGGCTCCCATATGTGCCCCTATCTCATGCAAGAAACCGTTTTGAAAAAGCTTGACACCCTAACGACCTCCCTTGTGAGTTCCTTTGAGAATCTCGCAACTTCCGCTGCTAGTGCGATGAGTCATCAGCAATTTCCAGTCTAAGATCTTCATCGACTTCGGAATAACTGGTTTCATTTTCAGAACCTTTATGCCTTTGCAAAGCTAGCTGCCGCCTGTGCTGATGAAGTCCCGAGTGATGTTGTTAGTGAGGCCAACAGGAAGCTGGTTCTTATCAAGCATCAATCGTTAATTCCAGAATCTTTAGTCAAGGTAGGTTTTCATAATGGCCTCTTCTCTTCTGTGCAATGACCACGGTAGATAATCTCAAATACATTTCCGTTTTTCGTTCAGAACGTTTTTCCTGACAATCCTCATCGCCCTTTGACCGCCTTGGAAATAATGGAGCTGAATATGCTTGATCCAGAAATCGTCGAAGGGCACAAAAGGTTGGTATTAGAGAGGTTTCCTATAGCGTTACGCGCCAATAGCATGGGCGCCTCTACGGAAATCTCATTGGTGGATTATATTTCTTACCGTATATACGAACTGGTAGCTAACGAGACTCAGTAGGG